ATTACATGATGATCTAATTGGTGGATTAATTAATTTAAAGAAAGGTGATGAAGATGATTAAGGTCATTGAATATTTAACAGAATGAGTAGGTGAAAACTAATACAGGGTTGACCTAGCATGGCGTTAAAATTTCATGATGACTTCACGAGCTTTGGAATCAGGCAGCAAAAGGTTATGAGTTAGAGCACTGAGTTTGGGAATTAAAATACCCCACACTGTTTAGACACTACTCCAGAAATCCAAAATTGGTCAGTGTCTCAGTACTACACCCACGGTAAACATTTACTGGTCCCCAACACAGCCCTTTGTTTTTTTTTATGCAGAAACACCCATTAATGTTTAAATTTATTATGTTTTTTATGCAGAAACAACCATTAATATAAACAGTAACTGTTGTAAAAGATGAGATGTATAAAATGAGATAAAACATGTTATGAAATGAGAGGTTTTTTTTTCCTTAAAAAAAGTTTAAAGTTTTATTTAGGTTGTTGGTGATGTGTTTTTGATTAGGTGTGAGAAATATGAGGAGTGAGAGAGAACATTTAATGAGAACCCCATCTGAGATTGACCTTACACTGCAGGGCAGGGCTCAATTATGAGACTGCAACGTAGAGTTATTACATAAGACGTGAGAATTAGGGCTTTGAGCTTTGCTTTATGTGAATTTGGAAATAGCAGGCAAAGGGACAAAAGCAACATTCAGTAAAGTAGGACTGGTGGGGAAGATCCCTTTGTAGCTAAGTTCATAGGGTTTTGTTTATGTTATTTCTCTGTCAATCAGAATGGTAGGAACCAAAAACCCAACAATTTATGCATTTTTCTGTGATGCTGCAATCTGCTATGTATATATCTGTGTGTGCCAACTCTCTTCATCTGCAATGTCCAATTACACTCTGCTTACTAATATCTATTATTCAACATCGATTCCACACCCTGCATGGCCCCATTCAAATTCAAACCTCCCCTACAGTTAATGCCTGTTCATGCATATGCTTCTCTCCGACTTTTCATTTTCAATAATTCTCATTTTATTACTTTCAAATTATTCCTATGTAAATTCAAAAAATATATATTCACTCGTTTTATTTTATTTAATAAAAAACACTATATAAACATATTTTATTATTGGTTTCTTATGATATATAGTGTTAATATATAAATTATCTAAAACTTTACATAAATCAGGAGAATCATTTACATTAGGGTTTATAAGTTTTTATATTTTATAAAAGGTTATCATAAAAATAAAATTTAAAAACCCATTATTCAAAATTTAATTGGAAACAACTTAATAATTTTTTGAATTAGAATAAAATTAAGAATAACACAATTAAGTTCATCTATCATACAAGCTACACGTGAGTATGTTCTCATTTGTAGATTTATGATGTAAATTAACTGTGTTTCTCTAAAAATGCATGTGAGTAGATTCTCTTGTTCATGGGACAGAAGGTCCTAGAATTTGTTTCTTCAAATAAAATAAAATAAAATAGTGTCCAAAAATAAACTAAAACAGAAACTAAAAAAAAGTTCAAATGGGTGAAAACAAAACCTGTGATTTCCCAGCTGGGTAAAAAATCAGAATGGTAGAGCATCCCATAAAAGTAATTGTTTATTGGATTGATACACACAGGTTTGACGAATAAGGAATGGTTAAAAACTTGAACAGTAAATTCAATGGTCAAAAGTCAGAACTTAAATCATTAATATATCTCAGCAGCTAGCTAACAGTTTTTTCAGTAGACATAATTATGAAATTAACTCATCTAGATTCTCACCTTGTGTATATATAGAGCTGTTAAAAACTTCTTAATAAGAAAGTTAACAGAGTGTGAATAATATAGTTTCAAACACCATGATTGAATTTTTTTTAACATCTCAGCATTACTATATTCTTTCAGTCTATGAAATCTATATTTATTTTCTTCATATTCAATTCATTTAACTTCTTACACAACTGTTGTATCATGCAGCTTGTGGATTGGGTTTGGGAAGAAGGGATGCTAACTATTTATATCAGTAAAAAAAGTCAGATGTTAAACCAGAACAAGTTAATGAAAATTAGTAATATGTTAATCAATTGACATTAAATAATTCACTTTTGAACAAATTTTGAGCATATTATATGTATCCAACAACAGAACAAGGTGATTAATGTTGATGATGGTTAAATCCAGCTTACTGAATAATCCTTAAGGAAGAAAGATACATGGAGATAGAAATGCAAGCCAAGAACTGATATGTACGAAAACATTCACGGTTTAAAATGAAACCAAAATATTTTGCAGTTTGATAGGAAGAGAATGTCAGCAGAACCTGACATCATAATTTAAGAGGGCAGAGTGTCCATATCCAAGCAGGAATAGTGGGTTCATTTTTTGAATCCCAAGAAAACAAACTCTCATTATCCTTCCTGTCTCACCCTAGCTAGAAAGGGACACATCAACCCTAATTTTAAGTGCAGGTAATCATCATTTATATTCACCGCTTCAGTGTTTGATGTCTTATTTTTTTCATTTTCTTTTTCTCACTCTTAAATTTATTTCATTTATTGTTATGGACCGTGCTGACAGGACTAGGTTTTTTCATTATATATATAGCTTCCCTTACTCTCACATCTCATGCCACTGTTCAAAGTTGAGCTGAACTCAAAAGAAACACTCTTTCAGCTCAACTTCAACCACCTTTGTCTAGGTTTTCAACATGTCTTGTGTAATGCAGGACAAGCTCTTGAAGCTCTTGGTCATGATTCCTCGTAATGAAGGTCAAAATACTCCAAGTCCTGTCATGTGGTAGATGTTAAGGCGGTATCTCTCCTGAGCTTATTCTTCTTACGTTTTTTATTTCATTTTATCAACTTTATGAATAATGTTCAAGTTTTCTTGACCTTGCAAGTCCACAAAATGAATAGTGAGGTCAAAATTACTTGTAATTTGTTCATAAAAGTATGAGATTTAGTAGATTAGGTAGGATATTTTAGAAAGTAGGTATTTGATGCTATCCCTCCTTGAGCTTGACCTTGTTGGTTTACCATTTATCTTTTATTTATGTGTATTTTGCTTTGTGCAATAAATATATTCTTCCTTTCCTAATAAGTGAAGATAGTGAATGGTTCACACCATCATATATTTGTCTGTTTTGAGTTGAAGAATTTATTTCTAGCCTTCCTCTTGGAACTTACACAGCTACTAATCATTCTTGTTTATAACAGTCAGTGTTACGAAGGCAAGAAAAACAAAAATACAAAGGTTGGAAAATAAAAAAGTGTCAGGAATATGAAAAAGGATAAAATTTTTTGCTCAGTGAGCTCAGTATCCAATTTAAGATTTTTGCTCAAGATATGTAAAACTGATCTTTAAGCAAGCACATTACAAAAAAATTATTTTTTTCCAGCATCCCCATCATTCCAGATTGATTGAAAAAAACAGAAAAATATATGAAAACATTTTAAGGAATTAGTAAAGTATCTTCTTTGGTTGATTTTGAGTTGGAAAAAGTTTCTTTCATTAATGAGAGAATAATATAAGAATATAAGAAAATATTTAAAATAGGTATATTTTTACTCATTTAAAAAAAGGAATTCATTATATAAGAATTGATAGAGAATAATTTGTGGTTATAAATGCAGTGAATCAAATGTCCACAAGGTTGGTCCCTATATTATATTAACTTATTTAGTTGCAATCAAATAATGAACCTAATAAAATGTTAGTCCAGCTAGTTGAATAATATTCCTTTTAAGAAAAAAAAAAGTTAATGAGTTTATTTTATAATTGTAATTGTTTTTTATAATTTGCTTTATGTGACTTTTAGTGGTCATTATGCTTATATGTAGACCAAAACTTTTTAAAATTCTAAGTAATCTTAACATTACAGGTCTTGTGATTTTGTCATTAATAGATCAAGTGAACACTTTTGAAGCAATAAATCAGAATATTTACTGATTATTTTGAATCCTTTTCTTTTGGTTCCAGCCAGTCCAAATTGTTTGAAAAGTGAATCTAATCTGTTGCTCAGTAAAAACTATTGTAGACTAAAAATTAAACCAAAAGTAAAGGAAAAATGTGTAAGTACTACCAAATGCAACATTCAGAATTTCTCGACATTTTGAAGGGGACTAATTGGAAATTTTGAAAAGACAGTAAAAAGAGAAAAGAAGTTTGGATATTCTATGCACCACACTTACTTGAGTGATCACACATACATGGTCTCTCACCTACTAAAGAAGATATGATAACAAGAGATAAATACATGCCCGTACTTTGTCCTCTACACAGTTTATATTCCGAAAGGTACTTTTTGCATTCTTGGGAGAGTATATGTCAATAGTTAACGGTCAAAATTGGATGAAATTATTAACTATTAAAATTAGATGAGGCTATAATCAGATAATAAAAGCTTTGAAATGTAAAGTGTACATCATTGTATGAATGAACAACTTGTCCTTATTTCCCCTGAAGTTAGCAATAATTGACAACCTAGTAGCCACTTAGTAAAAACCAACTATCACAATTGTATTAAAACAATCTCTTTCCAAGCTTCATTCCATAAAAAAAAAATCCAATCACATCTATTTCCCACGGAAACACAAAGGAGGAAGTGAGAACCAAAAAGCACATCATGTGCTTACCAAAAAATGACAATATAACGAGAAGTCTCGTGTTGTTCTCCAAGGACCTTAACTTTATGTACCAACCAAAGGACAATTTTAAAATTAAATTAAGTTCACTTTCATAATCAATTGGAAAACTCAAATTTAACAAAATTAAACTGTAAAATAATTTTAAAAGACTTTATTGATTCTTCTCATAATCTTATATTTATAAAAATAAATTAATACAAAAATACATGATAAATAGGATATCTCTATACACAATATAATTATGATAAATAAGTAATCCTAAACACAATATAATCATGATAAATAAAGTAACTCTTGACACTTAACAAACACAATAGTAATAATAATTATTATGAATTTAAAAATTTCAATCATATATATCATGCGCTTTGCCAATATTATTACTATCACATGCCAAAGTTTATCTTTTAGTATCCGGGGGATTTGTTAGTACAAAATTTTAATACATTTGAGGTCCTCAATTGGTAAATTAATGATAGGTCCCTCAATTGGTTTATTGATACAGGTTCAGATGTTGCATTAAGATCCTAAAACCTGCAATATACATTTGAATATTATGTACAATTAACAAATGATATAGGAAAAGATAATACCAAATCCACATTCTATTCATTTTGCTCATGATCAAGCTGCAAGCACCAACACTTTAATGGTGCCTTGACTGTTGGCAGTTAAAATAGTTGGTCGATCACTCTTCCAACATACAGCACTAATAAAGTATGATCCTGACTCATCTTCGGCATCATCCATATCAGGGGACCCAAACCTATGCCAAGTCAAAGGTTTTGAGATTTCCTGCAAAGCCCCAATTGAATAAGTAAAAGGTAAAATACACAAGAAAAAGACAATTTAACACCACAAACCTTGTGGTAGACAAATACTTCATTTGTTTCACTCCCGCATGCAATATATTCACTGCTAACAGTAAGACCAACAAAGTTTTTCTCATTTGCATGGCCTTTGAAAGTGCGAACCTACACAAATTTGAGTGAAAATGAAAAAAAATATATATACATCTATATTACACAATAGGTATCATATTGGTGCAATGATATTGATATACATTTATAGTAGACAATAGGTATGATATTGATATACATGAAATTAGTCTAATATAAACAACTATTAGCTTTTTAGAAGTATGACATGTAACATCAAGAAGCAGAGTGATGACTGTAACATTAAACTAAGTAACAAAAGTTAATATTATCCACAAACTAAATATAAAATGTAAGATAAATTTGAAACAAATCAACCAAATCATTTTGTTCCCGTTACTCACTGCTAAGTTTTCCTTCACATCCCATAATCTTAGTGTACTATCTGTTGATGCAGAAGCAAGCTCATAATTAGACAAAAATTTCACATATGAAACAGCCTTTCTGTGTCCACTGAAAACATGGACTGGCCGACTAATATTTCTCAAATCATAATAATGGATGTGGTGGTCTGCTGATCCAACCTGCAAAAATATACCAAGATGCCTGTATTAGATATATCAAAATTAAAGATGATCAGTCATTAACTAATTTCAGACTGCGATAAAGTTCAAATGATCCATTGAAATTTGATAATAGCAGGCAATTATACTACATGTTTATTGCTAATTATTAGCATGATATTTATAACATTTATCAACAATATTTATATGCTCCCATGCACTGGTACTAAAATCAATATGCATACAAGTAGCCCTTAGTCTAATGTTTTCTATAAGAAAATTTCTATATGCAGAATAAATATGGGCAGACAAGAAACACAATCATGTTGATATCTATTAAGTACAACTAGCACAAACTACTACTACAAAAACAATAAAATTGTGAGAATTATGAAAAAGAAAATGCTAGAGAGATCAAAGATATATAGAAAAATAATTATCAACCTTTAAGGAACCATTACTTCAGAGATATTTAGAAAAGTAATGATCAATCTACACAAAAATTAAAGGTTCTCCCATGAACTTAGCAAAATATCTGTAAGCTANTGAATATTATGTACAATTAACAAATGATATAGGAAAAGATAATACCAAATCCACATTCTATTCATTTTGCTCATGATCAAGCTGCAAGCACCAACACTTTAATGGTGCCTTGACTGTTGGCAGTTAAAATAGTTGGTCGATCACTCTTCCAACATACAGCACTAATAAAGTATGATCCTGACTCATCTTCGGCATCATCCATATCAGGGGACCCAAACCTATGCCAAGTCAAAGGTTTTGAGATTTCCTGCAAAGCCCCAATTGAATAAGTAAAAGGTAAAATACACAAGAAAAAGACAATTTAACACCACAAACCTTGTGGTAGACAAATACTTCATTTGTTTCACTCCCGCATGCAATATATTCACTGCTAACAGTAAGACCAACAAAGTTTTTCTCATTTGCATGGCCTTTGAAAGTGCGAACCTACACAAATTTGAGTGAAAATGAAAAAAAATATATATACATCTATATTACACAATAGGTATCATATTGGTGCAATGATATTGATATACATTTATAGTAGACAATAGGTATGATATTGATATACATGAAATTAGTCTAATATAAACAACTATTAGCTTTTTAGAAGTATGACATGTAACATCAAGAAGCAGAGTGATGACTGTAACATTAAACTAAGTAACAAAAGTTAATATTATCCACAAACTAAATATAAAATGTAAGATAAATTTGAAACAAATCAACCAAATCATTTTGTTCCCGTTACTCACTGCTAAGTTTTCCTTCACATCCCATAATCTTAGTGTACTATCTGTTGATGCAGAAGCAAGCTCATAATTAGACAAAAATTTCACATATGAAACAGCCTTTCTGTGTCCACTGAAAACATGGACTGGCCGACTAATATTTCTCAAATCATAATAATGGATGTGGTGGTCTGCTGATCCAACCTGCAAAAATATACCAAGATGCCTGTATTAGATATATCAAAATTAAAGATGATCAGTCATTAACTAATTTCAGACTGCGATAAAGTTCAAATGATCCATTGAAATTTGATAATAGCAGGCAATTATACTACATGTTTATTGCTAATTATTAGCATGATATTTATAACATTTATCAACAATATTTATATGCTCCCATGCACTGGTACTAAAATCAATATGCATACAAGTAGCCCTTAGTCTAATGTTTTCTATAAGAAAATTTCTATATGCAGAATAAATATGGGCAGACAAGAAACACAATCATGTTGATATCTATTAAGTACAACTAGCACAAACTACTACTACAAAAACAATAAAATTGTGAGAATTATGAAAAAGAAAATGCTAGAGAGATCAAAGATATATAGAAAAATAATTATCAACCTTTAAGGAACCATTACTTCAGAGATATTTAGAAAAGTAATGATCAATCTACACAAAAATTAAAGGTTCTCCCATGAACTTAGCAAAATATCTGTAAGCTAATCATTGGAGCATAAATTTTATTTGACAACTTCCCTCAAATAAAATGATTATCAATCTCTCTTAGTTTAGTTCTCTCATGAAACTACATACAATGTGAATAGCTGTTTGCTTATAATAATACATGCTCATATGACAAATTTCTCAAGATTAGAACTCCTAGAAGAATTGTTTTATCAACACAGGTTCACAGGGAACTAATGTCATCGCCCTATACTCAACTTTAGCACTAGATCAAGCAACCACATTTGGTTTCTTGCTTTTCCACAGAACAATCTTGTCTACAATGAAAACACGACATCCAGTAATGCATTGTCTATCTATAGATGATCTTGTTCAATCAAGATCATTATACACCGTCACCTAGGTATTTCTCTTATCTTTAAATATCATTCATGTTCTAGTGTGAATTACAACATTTCAATGGTCAAGACATGGAGGCCGCATAAAGGAACTAACCACTCGAACTGCAAAAAGACAACTCAAGTCTAGTAATAGTGTGAAATAAATTTCTCAACAAGTCTATTGTATCTTTTTTGGTTCAAGAAAAGCTCACTTTGTTTTGTCACTCATTTCTGATTTGAATCCATAGGACTATTCAAAGGTCTACAACCAATCATACAAATTCCTTTTAGGATATTGAAGGTGTATTTGCTTTGAGAAACTACAATATCTTCCTTTGCTTGAACTATTTCAATGGCCATAAAGTATTTAAGATATCCAAAATCTTTGATCTAGAAGTGATTTCATAAATGCTTCTTTAGCTGAGAAATTTTTGTAGCAACATTCTTTGTAATGACTATACCATCAACATCTATAATTAAGTTCACTCATTTCTCATAAGAAGTGATGTGATCCCAAGTCATGGATGATCTATGTTACAAGAAGATGAATTTAATACCAAGAGCTCAAGAAAAGAGAAATGAAGAAGTGGAACTTCAAAGTCAATATTAAGACTATGGAGGGAGATTCACAAAAGGAATGCAGAAGAGATTATAAAAAAATATAAAAATATTTCCTCTAATTTTCTTGTAAATAAAAATGTAAAAAATGTGTTCTTTAGAATTTTGAGACATAATTTGGACATTAGGCTGCTTTCAAAAACAAGGACCTTGGTTAAGAAATTATGTGCAACAACCAAACTAAGTCCTAGAATCTTCGTATTTCATGCAAGGACCCTGTTTAGAAAGGTGTGTGCACCAACCAAACAAGTCATAAACTCTTCCTTCTCTAGTTAGCCTATATAAGCATGTATACATCTATATGTAACATAACCCATACTTTGAAATAGAAAGTGTTGAGAATTCTCTCAAACATTGAGTTATGTTTGAGGCATATTCCTCATTTAATGAATCTTCTCTTAAGTTTTCCAGATTCAAGTGATGATTTCCCTAGTGAACTTTTCTTTCTCTTAGAATGTGAGTGTTTCTTCATTCTTATTCTCTTCAATCTTTTATAGTTTGTTGACTCATGTTTTGTTCTATATGTTTTTACATCCTATGTCCACGGCCAAACCAATCCAATCGCATTGAAGGATTCTTAACCATTTCTACTTAATGAATTCGTTGTTCTTGATTTCTAATGCATGGACTCACTTGTTTCTTCACTTCAATAGGTTCAAACAAGTTATAATTCAATTTTAACCAATTAAATGTCATGTTAACCGAATAGATTTGAGTTTCAATGGTTCATAGTTGAGTGAAAGTCGTGTTTGATAGATCCTAACTTCAAAACAGACACAGCAAGAAGTATCATAGTGAAAGATTGGATGATCTATTTTACCATGTATCAACCCAAAAGTTTGTACAATGTGAATGAATTTTCCATACCAAGCATGTGGCCATTGTTGAAGACCACGGAGAGATCAACACAATTTACAAACTAACCCACACTTCTCCTAAGCAACAAACCCAAAAAATTGCTATGTGTAGATTTCCTCCTCTAGATCACCATGAAGAAAAAATTCTTCATACTCAATTGATGGACAGGCCAATGGCAAATAGTGACCACAAAAAAGAGTTTGACCATATACGTATGAGTATCCTTTGACAAGCAATCTAGCTTTAAGGAGGTCGATTTGACCACTTGACCCAACTTTAATAGCATAAACCCACTTCCATCCAACTATCTTCTTTCTAGTTGGAAGAGGAATAAGCTCCCATGTCTAGTTTTTATCAAGAGTTTGCCTTTCAATAATCATGGCTTGTCACAATCTAGAATGATAAAATGTTTGTGTACATTTTTTGGTTAGTAATAGAGAAAACAAATGAGATGAAGGATAGAAAAGAAGGAGAATCAGTACCTTTTCGAAGAGTGGAGTCAATCAGATAATCATTATCTACAGTGGTGGTACTTTAGAGGGTGGTGAAGGACATGAAGAAGAGGATTTACTAGGTAACATTGGACCAATCTCGTGTATTCCTGCACTAACAAGTGACCAAAGGAAGTAATGATGGTTTAGGTAGAATTGGAGGAGAGGAACCTTGAGAAGTGATTTGATTAGGTTTGCATGAGGTGGAAAAGGCAAATGTTCAACGAATGGGACAAGTCTTGTTGCACAAAACTGGCATCTTGGAATAAAGAAGGAAGGAAAGAAGTATGCTCAAACAATGTTGCATTGCCAAACATGTACCTTCTAGTTTATAGAGAATAACAACAATATCCTCTTTGGAGATGGGAATATCCTGGTAAAACACATTTGATAACATTGTTTTAGGCTTTACACTGATGCAATTTCTTGACCTGTTAGGATTTGGTCCAAAACATGATCACAGTTTGGGTGCATGGAATGGAGGATCATCACGATACAGAACTTATCCAACTTCTTCCCAATCTCTTTCAAAGAATTAACTTCTAAAAAATCTTCAGTTCCTTAGCAAATTATTGAGCTTCAGCAATAAAAGAAGTCACGTCATGCTTGTTTAAGAGATGACAGTTTGAGAATCATTAAGATGTTGAATATCATTTGCAAAATTATTCTTATCCTTCTTCCAAAAGGAGTTACAAGTGTTGAATGCTCTAAGAGTTCCCAATATATTGGATTCTACATATTGCCACAACAAGGTACAAAGCTGAAAGT